CGAGAATGCCTACCGAACACTTCGGAAATTTTATTACCGGGAGTGTGTCCCGCTCGATCAACCAAAATTTCCGAAATTTTACTACCGCGAGATTTCCTAAAGGCACAAAATTTCGGAAATTTTAGTAGCGGGAAAAAGTTGCTCCCGGTACTAAAATTCCCGAAATTTTAGTACCGCGAGAGAGGCACGCAAGAGGCGTTCAACAGGAAACGCGCCAAAGTACGAGGTTCCAGGGGCCAGGGGCGCGCACAAAAAAACGGAGGCGACCAACACGACACCGTTTTATTAGAGTATATATAGAATTTTTTAGATCTATGATATTTAATAATCGGGCCAAGGGGGCGGAGAGGCTACGAGAATTTCGAGTCAGAGAGTCTAGGGTCGGGCCTTCAATTGAGAGGTTATTATAATTCCATCGTGTTGGCCTAAACCCTCCCTATAACAAGCTTTTAAATATTGTAAACCCTAAACCCTAAATTCTAAATCCTGACTCTAAATACTAACCATATATAATCATACAAAACCGTACAGAACCATAGACCCTAAACTAAACCCTAAATCCTAGACCCTAAACCCTAAAGCCTAAACACTAAATCCTCGCCTATAATTTTCAAGTCGCACAGCGAAAAAATCAAAATAATAAGTAAATCCTAATAATCCTAATAACAATGCATCTTCTTGAAATTTAGGATTTATGGGCTATGTTTCAAGCTGTAGGGTTAAGAGCTAAATCCATAACCCCTAAATCCAATATCCGAGCCCTAGGTCCTATCCCAACCCGTACACCAAAAAACACGATACCCTGAACCTGAAAGCTAACAAAATCCTATGTACACCCACAGCCCAAACTCCAGACCCCCACACGCTCAACTGACTCAACTGCAAATTCCAGCATCCTCGACACCCTACACCTTGTCCCCTAACAATAGCGCCCTTTAAATCCTACACCCTAAATCTGAATCTCAAATATCCGAAACCTTCAACCCCAAACCACGACCTAAACCCAGACCCTAAACCCTAAACCTTAAACCTCAAGATATAGCCAGCGCTTTCTCGGCGTGCCCCGATCTAAAAGCTGCAATCTAAGCAAGCTCGGAAGTAGCACGGGTCGAGGAGTTGAGTCTCTTTCGAGGTTTCGGGTTGAGGGCTTAGGGATGTTAATTTAGGTTTTCGGGTTCGGGTTTTGGGGTTTGTAGTGTGTGGTTTAGGGAGTTCAACGGAAGCCAGACTCCTCCTTTCCCAGCACGCAGTGATATTGTTCGCGATGACGGGAAATCCTGAACAAAAAGCACTAAACCCTAAACCCTAAACCTAACACCTAAACTCGGATCGAAATCCTACGTGTATCCTAAAACGTAAATCCAGAATACTAAACCTTAAACCCTAGAGCATGCCGATGTCGTCACCGCTTTTTGCCAGGGCTTGCGTGCTCCAGCAAACCAGCGGTGGTGAACTCTCCCTCAGGGTTTGGCAGGGATTGGACTTAGGATAAACTTCAAAACATCAATACACTTCCCCATGCTCCTCTGCAGCAATATCTGCAGCTGCGTGCTAAGGCCATTTCGGTCCAGGAAGCATACGGCTTCTAGGATCTAGGGTCTGAAGGATGTAGGATGTGCAACTGGATGTTTTAGGGCTTAGGGTTTAAGGGTCAAGGTTTATGGTCTAGGGCCTTTAAGGTTTCGGGTCTACAAGTGCAAATGGCACAGCCGCAATACTGGCAGCTGCTGGCGTGCTTTTGACGGTGAGGGGGCTCTTTTGCGGGTTTAGGGTTTAGGTCTGTAAAAGATGTAAGAAAGATGTAAGGTTTGGGGTGTAGGCTTTTAAGGCTTTAGGCTTTTCAAGGTCTATAAAGCCTTGAGCTTAAGATTTTTCAGGCTTGTTGGGGTTTAGGTGTCGTCTTTAGGATGTTTAGGGTTTTGGGAAGTTCAAGGTTTAGGGTGAACCCTAAGACTGTCTAGGCCCTAAGACTAGCCTGACTTTACCCTAAACCCTAAACCCTCAATCCTAAAGCCGAAAGCATAAAATCCTAAAGCCAGGCCCCCATACTCTAAACACCCTAAACCCTAAACCCTAACGCCCTGAACCTTGCTGACTCAGGGTTTATTACTTCGAGCTTGCAAACCGTCTTACAGTCCCAAAGCCAAACCCTAAAGTTTAGGGCTACCACCCAGCTCTTGCGCTTGTGAGAACTCGGCCTTTAAACCCTATACGCCCTGAACCCTGAACCCTCAAACCTAAACCCCTGAGCTGGGTACCAGTGGCCATGCGTGGTGCAGCACAGCCAGCTTTCGCCGGCACCATGGCCTGCACTTGAGCGCGACCCATGGGTTCAGGATTCAGGGTTTTGGATCAAGTAAAGCTTAAGGTTTAGGGTTTAGGGCTTAGGGTTTAGGATTTAAAGTTTAGCCCCGAAGTTGAGGAGACTCAGAAATTAGGGTCAACTAGGGTCTGGGTTTGACGTTTAGGGTTTAGTAAGCTCAAGAAGTGTCAAGATTGGGGTTTAGAAGATTTCGATTGGGCGTTTAATTTCGGAGCATTAGGCTTGAAGGGGTTGGAGGTTTACGGTAGAACTCTGTTTTTTGTTTTGTTTGAGCACCTTTTTCCGCCTAACCAATCCAGCTCAGCGAAATCCGCATTGAGGAAGGCACCAGGACTCTGCACTCTCTCGACCCGTTAGCACTGCAGCTTCCCGTACATCCCCACTGCTCCACCCTAAAGGACTCGCCCTTCTAGGTCTGTAGAACTCTGTTTAAGGTTCAGGGTTCAAAGTTTAGGATTTACAGTCTTTAAGTGATTCAAGGCTTTTACTCAAAAAGCTGCTCGGACAACACCGGCAGTCCTTGGGATCAACATGACGGACATCTGCCCACATCAAGAAGGCGAGGCTGAGAAAGTCAACAAAAACGACGGCAAGAAGACAGTTGACTTACAGGCCACTGAGGATGCACCCCGTCTACCTAAGCAGCCGTCAAGGAGTCAAGCGTGAAGCATGTGCACGGCAACCCTGGCGACCTTGTCCCCAAAATCTTTGTCAATTCCGTAGGACACCGCACCTCGGAAAGTCGGCCAGGGGGGAGCCTTTCGGAGCGTATAGGTTCTATATAGGATCTGGATAGTTTTGTTGTGACTTCTGGTTATAAAGAAGTTGCAAAGGCGAGTTTAGGGTTCACGGTTTGGAAGAAACAGCTTACTATAGGTGAACCTGCATTTTGCGGCTGTCCTTCACCCTGCACCAGGAGGGTGGGAGGGGGGGGGCAGGTCAGATACGCAAACCTGTGCTTCGACATCCTTGGGCTGACATGCCCGCCCAGCCTTCAGCTAAATCTAAACATATCTAAACCTTACACCGGCCCAACCCCCAAACTAGGCACTAAACCTTGAACTACTCATATACTCATCCTCCTTCACTGGAGGTTGGGTCCTCGGCCCAATCTAAAACGACCCCGCACTTTCAGACACTTCCCAGAGATTGTTGGCCCAGCATCCCTGGGCGCAACACGCTGCTGCTGCAGGCGGCGCCGCCACAGTGGGGAGGGCATGGCTGGAGCCTACCCCAGATTCTCATGAAAAGGCCTGCTTTTTGCTGACAGCCGTGGCTTTTCCTGGATCAATACCCCGGGCTCCTTCACTCTGGCACTCGGACCCATTCAGACACGTGTGTGACGTGGGACGGCGTTCATTACTCCCTGGCTTTAGAGGCTTTAAAGCTTAAAGGGCTGAGAGTTGGGCTTAAGCTGGGAATGGTCAGATCAGTACCTTAACTTGGCACACCCGCCCAGATGCTGCAAAGTACCATAACGCACTAACTGTCAAGCTCAATTGACGTCTATTCTGAAGCAAAATTCTGACATGGCTGAATCATGTTCTGGGAAAGCTGACCGAAGCGATGATCTCACCAGAGGACAGTTCGAAGCATTCAGCTCCTTGCTCATATGTTCCGAGTGAGCCGTCGGCAAAAGGGTGTAAATTGCTAGACTCAGACCATCCAGGACCATCTAGAATCTAGAATCTACCTCTAGGTCACGATCAACTTATCAACCAAAGTGCAAGGCTCCAGGATCTGCGGATCTTTGATCTATACGGTTTGTAACGATACATGTAATGATATTGTTGTCAGAAAGACGAGTATGCATCATATTCAGCGAGCAGGAACCTGTCAGGCGAAGTTGGATGCCAGCCAAGGATTCAAATGGAAGGGCGGTCTTTTACGTGGCGAATCATGATCATTGCCGAGATCGCGCCTCAGTTGACTTCCTGGCTGGGTCATCCCATTCACCTTCCTCTTGACTTGTAGAATGGGCACTCCATTGAGTACTTTCTGCATTCCAAGAAGCAGCTCTTGCTTTCGCCAGAGCAGATGGTCCTCAACTCAAGCACTGATAACACGAGCTGTCACAATCAAGAGTCAGACAGGCCGCCGACATGGACAGATAGATATAGATCTTGTCAAGCATTGTCAATGGCGGAAAACACAACCTGTCCTCTTGGTACAGCAGCTGATCCATCGGAGTGAGCAGTCTGCGGGATGCTTCTACACATCGGATTTGATGGTGGCTGTCGTTTAAACGCCTGTGCACGCTGAGGGCACGTGTGAACGGGCGAGTAAGCGGGTGAGTGAGGCGGAAAGCATGGAGGCATGGAGGAATGGAGGCAGGGAGGGGGTCAGTGAGCGAGCGCGTGAGTGAATCGACCTACCGACATCAGGCGGCCTGTTTCCCGTGCCTCGAGCAACTTCGTAGGCGCTACAAATTAACAAGGTCGAGCGGGGAAAGTAGTTGGTAATTGGCTGGGCAGCCTATTGCTCGAATGCTGTGCTGATTCACCACATGCTGAATCCCAGTAAGGTGATGCTCCTCACACACACGCACACACACACACACAAATTGCCACTCAAACAGCTGAAGCACCACGTCACCTGGCGGATCGCACTTATTACTTCATTGATCTTCAGGGTGTGAGTTTCCAGCCATTGACTACAGCTGTGCTCGGTCTAGTCCTCGAGCACTGACATGCTCTCTTCTGGCCTGAGCAGCGTTAGCAGCGTGGAGAAAACGAATGGCCGCTGCTTCGGAGGCAGTCCTCTGCAGGCACACATAGACACATCGAGCAGGCTCTGAGCTCTGCAGACACATGGAGGAAGCCTCTGGAAACCGAAGCGTGTCCTTGAATTCTCTTCGATTTGCATCAGCTGAGGCAGCCTGAGATCTTGCGAGGCAGAAAAGCCCAGCTTCTGTTCCTGAATTGCATAGAAGGTTCTGTGGGAGGAGTACAGCTGTGAAGGAGCGGATCAACGCATGCGCCTGGGCCTCACTGACGTCAAGGGCATGCGGCATTGCAGGGCTTAGTGTTGGGTGCATCTAAGCCAATCTAAGCCTACAAGTGCTTCTACTACCCGCAAGTTTAAAGTAACTCCGATTTAAAACTGACAAGTGTTTCGACGGACATATTATACGGTCGCACCACCACGTAAGCCGCAGCGCCGCAGAGCGCTCCTGGCCTTGCTCAGCTTTTGAGACTCTCGGCCCCTGGTCTCTCGAAGGCGTCTTTGCACCTGCGTAGAAGCACGCAAGTCTGGCTCACAAGTCAGCAAGTTGTGTGAGGTCGTGCGACCTAAACTCCAAGGCATGATCGTGGTGGGATCAACATGCCGCTGACACGTCCAACCTCCTCAATGCGACCCCGGAGCTCATCACAGCCGCCCAGCACAGCCTCCCAGCAGAATGCACCCCCTGTCCTACTGCCTCAGCAAGCTGCGGCACCTCGACCTCCAAAGCCGCAGAACTCACACGAAGCTTGGCTTTCAGCTCCTGAGCGACTGCATGCGACTGCACAGTTGCCCCAGATCTCGCAAGGACGCGGCCACAGCTCCGAGGGATGAGGAAAGGCTCATTCCAATCCAAGTATCCTGTTGGAGCTGTGCTTCCTGCACGCATCGCACGGATTCTGCCTCGGAAGACTGCTACAGAAAACCCAGTCTCCTCCTCAGCCTTAAGCTGCACCGATGACGCAACGGCGAGATCGCCATCCAGCAGTGCACGGCCGATCTCCCACACCTGCAGAGCATTGCAGAGCACAGGCTCTAACCAGAGTTCAACCTCTGTCGAACTGGGCTATGAAGCCGTATGTAGCCTCTGGCAGCAAAAGCTCCGCTCCGTTTGCATCCTGCTGCCGTCGCGCATCAGCATCATGAAGGGCTGACTTGACCTCAATTATAGCAGGCAGGTCACAGTTGCGAGACCTACACGCAGCACAAGAAAGCCGCGGGGTCAAGCCGCAGTTGAGCTCCCCATGCATGCACTCGTTCATATCTCTGAACCCTGAAGCCAGTCGAATCGAACGAGCCCGCTAGAAAAGCCTCGACTCTCGACGGAACAAAAGCAATCAAGTGAACCAAGCCGCATCAGAAAGGGCGCCAAGGGATTTCAACAATCGATGACGATAATCTTGAACAGCATTGTGCACCTCTGCCAACCGTCTTGAAAGCCCTTGGTGCCACGCCCTGGATGCTCCAGTGGGTCCAGCCCCAGCACGGCCGACTGACGGGAGAGATTGGAGCGAGGAAGAGCCAGAGACTAAATTGCTGGAAGAAGTCTTCCAACGACGGCGCCCGTCTTCGGAACCCGAACGGCAGGTGCTCTGACTTGCAGACGGACCAGCCAAATACTCCTCCGCTCGCCGCCTCGGACTGCTGAATATCTCACTGCTTCCACTGAGCCTCGGCTCAAAACCACAATGCCGTGCAACACACGCATGCACCATGATCGGATCTGTGACGAGGTGTGCAGATGTTTCGCCGTTCCAGTCTCGGAGGGCGGGGCTGAGCCGTACTCAAGTCTCGGAGAAAATCTCGTAAGAGCTGTCTGTTTGGCCTGTCATGCACGTTGGCAGCTCACTTGTTTACTCCCAGAGTGACAGTGTAATCAGTTCACAGTTGCCCTGCGAGTCTGTAAATACGAGAATCTATAGGACTTTACAAGACTGTGCCATGGGCATGCACTCACTGTTCTGTCCAGTTGCCTCTCCTCCTACCTGGCCTTGCCCCAACTGAAAGCTGCTTGTGGAACCTCAGTTCTGCTCGGGACTTCAGGTCAATGAATGTGCCCGAAACGTTTCAGCTGTACTTTGCGGATGTGGTGTGGGATGGGGGGCTCTTCTCTGAGAAAGCGATTGTCCTGATTGGTGTGCGCTTCTGGTTGCAAGACTTCCGCGCAGGATGTGCATTCGAGAGCACGCAAAATTTCCCGCCTTGATGCATGCAACAGTCTGCCTCTGCGCACAAAAACGACCGTCATCCGTCTGTGACCGGCTGGTCCAATGAAGAAAGCCAGGATAACCGATTGCAACTGGGCAGAAAACCGAACAATTGATGTGTTTTGCACAGAGAGGTGTACTTGATCAAACAAGCATCTTCAAGCCGGCTTGTACAGAACAACCCTCATTGCGTGTTTCTGACGTTGTTCCGACCTGGGTTGTGTATACATGTTGTCGCAAGACAGAACATGACTTCGTTTGTCACCGCCCTAGCGGCCCTAGAGTGAGGCACAAGTGACGTTGACCGAGTCTCCATGCACAAACACACCAACAACAAACCTTGTCAAATCATGCCCCGAGCAACAATCGTAAACTGCATGGTACGGCAACAAAACACCGCAATGTGAACCCAAGAATCACCCGCAACTTCTTGGGAATTTAGATCTCCTTCGAGGGTTGGATTGTTTTTCTTTGGCTTGCTGCGGTTTCTTACTTTACAAGCCAAAAAAACACCCGTACATAAACTTGGGAAGGCACTATTCTGGTAACAGTTTCAGCTGCTTGCACTTGAGTAGTCTTTTGATCCGTCAATTCTTGCTTTGTCGAAAACCTGGGCGAAGGTGGCCGAACATCTTTGCGCAAGACTTTCTCTCTCGCAAGTGCCGCTTGACACTCTGGGCAAGTGACTGTGGATTGGCTTGCCATGCAGCAGCCTCTACAGCAGCTTGCGCAGCAGACCGTGCATCCGCCGCCATCAGCGCACGAGCAGATGCAACCACGTGCGCAGACTGACCTGTTCAAGGCTTCAACCTCGTCGATTAAGTAACTGCAGCTGTCGATCGTGCTGCCCAGGAGGCGTGGTCTTGAGAGGCCATCGTCGTGGCTGACGGTACCTGAGATAGAGTTCGAAAACAGGGGGTGATGAATCGAAGCAGGCACAGACAGCATCCGTGCAAAGCTGAGACATGAACCCGCTCCTGCAGTCTTCGTTACTGGCACGCTGGCACTACGTCACTACGTAAACTGTCTTGAAGACGACACGGAGGTCAAGCTTACACGTTTACTATGGAAGGAAAAGCCGTGAACAACAGTTTTCAGCGAACTGACCGCCAGGTTCCGCCCAGCAAAGGGGGAAGGTATGCACAGAAACGTTCTTAAAACACTTGCCCTAACATTAGGAAATGACATGAACTCGTCTTTGGCAAATCAGTCCCCAGCCTGACGGACTGCTCAGCAGCGTGGCTTCTATCCGGTCCTCTCCAATCACATCTGGAGCACCCCATCGATAAACCAAGACCGTTACAAATGAGAGTATGGTGATGTGTCTTACTAGAGGAGGACTGTGGCTGCAAGGCAGAGCCGTATGTCGCAATAAGATCTTTGAAGGATTCCCCACCAGACTCATGTCTCTTCACGACCCAGGCTGGAACCACCACTCTCGAGTTTCAGATGTGGAAGTGACAACAGGGTTTTCAGACTCTGCTTGCGGGAGGTCCTCCACATTGTGCATCTGGCCCGGTATCCTCCCAGCGCCTTCATTGCCGGTATCTGCGTCCTTGGAAATGCAAGTATGACGGTGTCAACGGCTTGTGTTCTGTGAGTACAGGCTTTCATTACTCCGTCCTGGCTGTGCGCCGACTGCTCGACTGCATCGCTATCGCTGGTGGACTTCGAAGAGTTATCGGGCAGGCTTCGTTCCGCGAGGGGCAGGGCCGTGAGATTGCTCTCTTGAGTCTCGTTGGGCTCCGCGACGGCTGCACTCTCGGCATGCCCATCTTTGGATACCAGATCATGCTCCTCCATCCCTCTCACAAGGCAAATAACCTGATCTCATCCACATCGACAGGCTGCGCAGAAGCTTGTCCAATCCAGCGACACTGCATGGCTGGCAGAACTAATTATCTCGCACGTTGATAGTAGGCAAGATTTTGTTGCTGCTGCAACTGAAGCGGCAGTGGAATCCCTATCGCCGGGAACCATGAGTCGGCAGGCGAGAAAACCAACATTAAGTACGAGAACAGACAAAGCCCGTCAAGAACTTGGGTCTCACACTGATCGAAATGTCTGCAGATCAGATCTGGCAAGAAGTTGTTGATTATTCCAACATACAGAACAACAACAGACACCATCAATCAACAACCCGGAAGTCCCAGAATGACAGGAAATAAGCGTGCATCCACAGTTAATCGTGCTCGACCGAAACAAGTCTACGAAACTGTTGTGCCGGAGTGACACGTGCACCCTAGCAGTTCTATTTGCAGAAACATCTGTGGCTGTTGCAGAGTCCGCAGAGTTACGGTTGTGCTTAGCCAGCGAGGTGTTCAGGACACTGTTCAACAGCATACTGCCACTCCTTTGACTTGGAAAGAAGAGCATGCTAAACTAAGATTCAGCTTCAATAATGCATCGCGGCATATTGCCCTTCGGCCCTTTTCGTTCCTAGCTTATGCTACAACACACGGCTTCCCTTGCAGACATTTGCAGGCTGCTGTTGAGCTGCATTGGCAAAGGCCTGCTTCTTTCACGCGTCGAGTCCAGCATCGTCCGTCCAGCCGCTGCGGATCACGACTACAGCCTGCTGCCACAGCAAAATACCAGGTTAACAATTTCGCCACCCTCTGACGTGCCAATGTCTGTACTGCTGACGTTTCAAGATGTTCAATGCAAACAGACAAGATGAAGCGTGCGAATTGACCACCCTGCAGGGACTTCAAGGGCTTCCGCGCCTCGCCAGAGTTCTAGCGTCCGGCAACTGCCACCACGGAAGTGTCGCGAAGGGCATGGCCAGCTTTGTAGCCACATTTACGCGTCTCCGTCACTGGTGCTTCCTGGCGCAAGAAGTGTTGCCATGCTCGCATCTGTTGACCGATCAGCTCCCGGCCGTCATCACCAGGAGAACGCAACACCTGGCAGAAGCATCCATGCAAGGCATTGTCTGCATGGTGCGAGTACCCTCCTGAACTTCTGAAGTCAGCATATCTATGTGCTCACCTCCCACTCGAAGTCGAGGCGCTCGTGCCATGATTCCTGGGCGGCAAATCGTGTCAATGACGATGAAACGCAAAGTCCACTGGAACACACGGCCTCCTGATCCTGCATCGCCTCTTGAAGTGCCTTACACTCGACTGAGGTAGCAAAAAAATGCAAAAGAAGAGGTTCAGTCGTCAAAGGCCTCTCGACAGAGCTGGAACTCCTCTTGCACACGAATTGTATCGGTAGAGCCAGGCCTGTCCAACGTCGCAGATTGCAGTACGCTCAGCAACACTCGATGTATTCGTCGCTACGAGAAGTGCTGATTCTGCCGCAACCAAAACAACAATCCCGAAAGCCTGAACGGATTTTCCAGGGCAACGGCCTAATCCAGGCAGCTGGCTGCACAGTCTAGAACGGACTCTTGCGCCAAGACGGATAAATGCCATCCAAGATACGACATTGAGAAGGGCAACAAGCGTAGTTGAGGTCAGACCTGGAAACCGAAACAGTTGCACGCGATGTGGTTGAGCAGCAGGAAGCATGCCAGGCGGACAAGAAAACAAACAAGCAAAAATGAAACGGTGCCGCAAGATTGAATCCGTCACGTCAGAGTCTGGACCTCAGCTTAACAAGCCGCGAGAAAGCAAAGATTTGCGTGCAACCAACACTGAGACCTGCACTGTAGGTCTTAATGAGATGCAGATAATATGGCCTCGCATTCACGCAATCTTCGCACTTCAGTCCGGTGTACCACCCTACCACGAAAACTTCATAAAATCTGTATCCGAGATCTATTGCCAGCACAAGCAAGTACAGCAGAGTGTTGCAGCTTAGGTGCCCGAAGAAAAAGGGAAACACTTGAATGCTTACCTCGTGGCATGCCAGGAAAAAGTACTGTGGAGTATGCGAAACGGCGCAATCACTGACACTGAGACGAGAGCACGGCAAACTGATCTGAGTGTTGTCGGGGTGCGGTACGTTTTGAAACCTCATCGGAAGCTCTGCATAAGAGAGTAGGTGCTGCCCTCGCTGCCCTCTTTCAGCTCTTGCTTTCTCGCAAAGCCCTCGGCTCGGGCGCTCAGGCCAGGGCTCCACAATCGCTCGAAGTCCCGACACAAGAACATGTTGTACTGATTGATCCGGCTCGCCTCCCGCAAGCTTCCCACTGCGGCTTTCAGAGACGCCGTGACTGCCACGGGCAATGCCTCATTTGCCGGCATGCCTGCGGCCTTTAGCTCCTGTCACGAGACACTGCATCTTAGGCGATACTTTCAGCGCAAGATTCTCACCTCCGTGGCTCTATGTAGGCGGCCGAGCAACTTCAACCTGAGGGGCCAAGGAGCTGTCAACATGAAGCTGTCAACTCAAGGGCCCTCGCACTGCAGAGCGACCCTTCAGCTCGGCGTCCTTCCACGGAACACTGAACAGATGCGAAAAGATGGGTCACACTAACGTAAGATTCATGGATCACGGAGTTTCTATCCAGACAGCGGTTGCGAACCGGAAGGCAGTGAATTCAAAAGCTAAACACAAGTAACTCGGAGTTTATTGCTCGGCATCGGGCCGTCCTGGACCCCGTAGGGCCAGCACAATCTACTTATGACTTACTTGGCTCTTGAACGTTGCACGACGCTCAATTCCATGCCTGTCCTGCTACCTAAACGGTACCATTAAATCAGGATGTAATTTTCTGTCCTACACTACCCCACCCTTGCCGACAATTAAATCAAGATTTGATGGATCTGAATCAATGACCAAACCTGAATACAACAAAATCAGACTGTAATTGTCTTGAAAAGTTGGCAAGAACGAAACGATATGAAACGATTAAATCATCATTTGGTTGCCTTCCAAGACCATCGCTTCAGGCTCAAGGTTTGAGGTGGGCTACGGGATGCAAGGTCCGAATGCTTGTTTGTCTATTGCATCGTGTGCAGGTGTGTCTACGGGACGCTAGACTATAGACAAACCACGCGCTAGCATTCCTTACACTTTAACTTGAGGGCATGAGGATAGTCATGTTTCAACTTTCTGAGCTTCTATCATAGGCTAGGCTAGGCTAGGCTAGGCTAGGTGGCTAGACTATGCTATAACAGACTAGACCTGGCGAGACGAGCTGAATCAATCAAGAGGTCGTCATTACATGTTTGGAGATTCCCAACATCACCAGTTGAATCATGACGTAGTTTTGTCGTTTGCTTGCTCTATCTATACCTGAATCTCACAAGATACCCACGAATTTTTCGGACATGGCTCCGAAGATTCCTCTTTGAATATTGATTTTGCTGTTGGCCTTGCAAATCATGAACTTGAAAGTAAATCAGCTGTAAGCGAGTAGAACACTACAACCTAGTTCTAAGAAGATCCTCACGGAAGGTTGGGAGCTTGCAATCCTGAGGCCAATCAAAATCTGCCACCGGTCACTTAGGTGATCTACTAATTTTCAGAAGCTTCCATTCGAACTTGATAGGAACCAACTACATTACCGGTGGTTAGCAATTAGGACGCCAAATTACACAATTAAACCATGATTTAAGGCTGTATCCCGGTAGCGAACTGGCACAGGTCTCTAAGCAGGTTCTACTCACATGCAGCGAGACAGTAAACTCATGATTTTAAATGTTTTTTGGACAAATGCATCGACAAGCAATGAAAACCAGATCTAATTGCGTCTTTGGAAGGTCCAAGGAAGGTCAAAACCGAACCAACAAATCGAGATTATATTCTGTTTAATTTCTGGATTGATTGGTTTTCATTGAGAACCGAAGCTCCGAACCAAAGGCAACATTGGATGGAAAACATGACCCGATTAATGTCCTACAAGCCACGGAGCGTGGCAAACTGCCAACCTCCACCATCTCTTTCTCGGGAGAAACGCATGTGAAGAATTCCTGGCCTGGGCGATGCATACCGCTTGTAACCTTCGTCAGTTTCTTGGATCCGAAACAGACTGCAAGAAAAACCAGAAGCCAAGCCGGTCGCGACTTCGTCCACGACGCGGTACCAGCAAGAGTTCCTCAGAAAGGAAGGCGCTCTTTCGAAGAAAAATTTCACAAAGCTATGGCGACCCTGAAATTTCTGGGAAAGGACTTTGAAACCCAACCCTGATTCAACCTGCGAGGTGCAGGAGAATCGCCTTCAACAGCCACTCCGAACCCTGCTGAGCACTCCGGGAAGTCTTGTCTGCTCTGCTGGGAAGATTCCCAAGTTTCGGGAGGACAAGGAACGCAAACACAACTGGAAGCTAAGCTCGGCTTCACGCCTGCATGGCTTCGACCAGCCTGATGAGAAGATTGAAAACCTCAGGAGTGCACGAATTACCATCTTCCCTCGTCATAGATCAAAAGAACCCAAAGTTTGTTCAAGGGCCATTCCACCTGACTCCACACAGGCTTCTTCCAGATTGCTTGCAGCACCCACCGATTGGAGATGAGGCAAGGACCCGTGGTCCATGCCGGGGATGGAGGGGCGTATCTTTGAAAGACCTGCGAAAAATGAGATGCGGAGCACCGCAGCACAGCACAAAGCTCTCACACACACACACACACCACCACACACACACACACACACACACACACGCTTTAAGTGGACCACCCCTTCTTTTTTCCATGACCACCTTGTTCTTTGGGCCTTGATGCAAAACATTCCTTCAAAGCCAGCGGTCTTCAAGAACAATCAGGATCGGGATCCTGGATCCATCACAGATGCTGAAAGTCGCTATGGCCCGGTCACGTTGTCTTCGGCTCTGCCGCACCAGGCATCAGCCTCAACGGAGCACGCTTGCACCTTTTCCCTTCAGTTTCACTTGACACTGGTCCAAGCAATCCGTTGTAAGGATTCTTCGCCGGGCCAGTCCCAAATCTGGTTGGCCAAGTAAACATTCATCCTCCAGTGGGATTGCTATGAGACTCCATCAACCTGCCACACTCGTCGATGCCAAACTAGTGTGAAATGCTGAGTACCATGCAACGTCGCTCGGAAGTCGCTGATGGCCATGAGCGCTTGCTGGGCGGAGCAGAGCAAGTTGCAAAGCATCTGTGTATACAAGTCCGGATTGCTTGGTGGCCGTCCTGCCTCTCTTCGCTTGAAAGCTTCCCTTCGCAGTGTGCAAAAATGGAAAGTGTGAAAGCGATGTGAAAGGCTTCACTTTGAAAACTGAGGTCTGATTCCAGAGAAACAATAACACAGACATGAAGCGGCTGATCCTGCAGCCCCTCAAAATTTTGTCGATGACCGTACACATACAAAACATAGTGGGAGGCCCCGTGAACCATCTTTGCCTGATAGCGGTCTGCAACGGGAAGACCAGTGCGAAACCGACTACGGTCCACCTCAAACAGGAGGCTGCCACAGGGAGGTCAGAGCGTTCAAGACCCGGCAGTAAGGGGCACACGTAAGGTTCATGTGAAGATCTGGAAAAACCTCTCTGTAAAAAAGCACGCTCGCCACTGCCTCGGATTCTCTTATTGCAGGTGCCACGGCACGGGGCGCACAAATCTAGTGACACTAACTCGAAGCTGACCACTGGGTGCAACACCGTCAAATTGACGATAACAGTGTCTGGACAAGCCATGAGATGAAAAACCACAGCGGCGCTTGCACCTCATCTGTCCAACGTTGGATCGATTCCGCCGACGAAATGCTACAGTTCGCCGATGCGAGTAAGCTGCATTGGTCCAGCAGCAATGCAAGCCATTGCCTGTGCCGAACAGGAGATCGAAAACAAGCGAACCGCTTTCACATGCGCAATCGCCTTGGCACCCACACAGAGGATGCCAGTAGCCCACGGCTGGCAAAGCGCTTGAAACAGCAAGTTCCTGCGAGTCACACGAGGCTTACGGCCAAAGCCATTCGGAGAGAATGCCAGCAACCACCGCCCCTCTTCAATTATCAGTTCACACAGCGCTCCCAAATTCTGTTCAAGTCAAGCGTTACATCCACATGTGCTAGGATTTGTTTGGATCTCCTACACAATCCTTGACTTCGCTGCTGTCCGACTGCAGCACACAGCTCTGGGCTCTCCGGATTTTGGTGTCGGGAGGTCCTGGTTCTCTTCCCATCATTCCGCGCAACTGCTGCATGCCGAGGCAAGAATAGGCAAGCCTTGCTTCCCGATGCCTCTCGAAGACCTACCTCAGCTGGTTACAGTCGGGTTCCTCGTGCATCGCCGCTCACCTTGACAGGCCGAGTGACAGCGAAGTCAAGCCTAGCCAGTCCTCGTCAAGGCTGCGGCGAGCGAAGGATGCATTGCAGCTCTCAGCAATCCCCAGTTCACAAGCATGTCTTCAACACGTTGCCTCCTGAAGTCCTGCACTTACAAACAATGATGCTTCATGATCCACCATGTTGAACACTTCCAAAGTTTTGAGCCATCACTTGTCTGCCTGATACTCGCAATGCTACATGCAGCACATGCGACAAGGTCCAAGTGTGGTTTTTGTTGGAGTAGCTTTCATGCCATGCTACGGTCCCGAGAGGTAGCTTGATGCTCTAGATTCAACTTAGATCACGCTTAAATCCTTATGCCCGGTACCACGTGGACAGGCACCCTTGCAGTCACAATGCACAGACAGAAGCCACGTGCGGGCAGCAATTCTGCAAGACTAGTTCCAAATTCGTCCGACGTGTTGCCTCATGGAGGAGAGAACCCATTTCTTCCAACAGGAAGCAAGGTCCCTAGCCAGATGTGCAGCACCACGACTGCAACGAGGTTGCCACAGGGAAGCACCTTGGCAAGAGTGTCTCGCATATAGATTCAGTTGTCAGTCCGGCGTATGGCTCTCATGCATGTCTCTGTCCTGCCATTCTTGCTTGCTGCATCAAAGGCCAGCACCGGGCAGTCAGACTGTCAAGGCAGTCTGGAGCTGCTTCATGAAATCATCGATGCGCCCTCACTTCGGGTGCGAGGGCAATCAGCAGACTGCAAGCTGCAATCTACCAATCAAACAGACTGTACTCTCAGAGCCACACTGCATGCTTCTGCTGCGAAGGTAGTTTCGCCTGAGCACGATCCCAAGGCGGCTCTGTGTGTCGTACAACCCGCAAACTCCTTCCCAGAAAGCAATGGCCGTGACAGGAACAACTGGAATGTTGCCAAAATGTAGTAAGATGCTCTCGCTTTCGAGCACAAAGGATGCAATTCTTGAGTCTCCAGAGAGCAGGTCAGGCACATTCTCTCCAGTGATGAGAAGTACCGGTATGTCCTGCCTGGCTGAGATGCCAGCCATGTAGAACATGTCGGCTCCACCACACAGAACTGCTGCGTCAGCTTCCCACAGGGCGGCGGCAACGGCTGCAAATAATTGAGATTCGGTGAGAGAGTCCGAAGATGAAGGCACTTCTAAAATGGACCCCCACTGCGCGCAGTGGTCTCGGAGGGTGCCTGGGGCTCCCATCACAAGAAACCGCGATTGCTCTGAGTGCTTGTGAAGCGCTCTATAACGGGCATCCTGACGCCTGCCTTCTGGAATGGACAAAAAAGCTTCCAAGACCTGTGGCCCATCTTTCTTCAGCAGGGGCCTCGCAGCCTCGACATCCAACCATCTGCGACGTCTCAGACTGGTGTCGTACGCGGAATGTGGATCATGCCAAGCTTCATTGCCGTCATCCTCCAAATGTTGCACATACATCGAAAACATGTATGACCGGTTTTTCTCCGTGTCAAAGGTTCCGAGAAAGCATCCCAAAGTCCCACTGGCTCCACATTCTTCCTGCGTCTCGCGGGCAGCACAACTCGCTACCTCCTCACCGGGATCCAGGGAACCTGCCGGGAAAGTCCATTTGCCTGGTGTGTTTATGCCCTCGATAAGTAGAACCTGAACAGAACTTCCAGCAGTCCATCGCCAGGGAACTGTTCCAGCACGAAGCTTTCTGCCAGCAACTTTCACAACCGAGGACTCGAGCCTTGCCTTCTTCACTCCGGGCCCTCCGGGCGGCCCATCCGATGCCTCGCACGGGTTCATCCGCCGATCCTAGCGGTCCTAGCGAGCTCTCAACAGCTGCAGACACCCACGGGCCCCAATTCCTGTGCCAGCCTCTCCAGACTTCAACATTTTCTCTCTGCAACTCCGTGCAATCTTGATTCAACCTAAAACCGAACCATGAACACGAACTACAGTCTCCATACCCGGGCCTATACCTCAAAACAAACCTAGAACCGACCCCAACCGAAAAGAGGTTTAGGGCTTGGGTCTTGGATGAAGGTTTAGGGGTGCTACTTTCGAATCGGTCCTTTCCGTTTCTGCCACGAGTCGATGGTGCCTCGTCTGATATTAAATGCTTGGCTTGATCTCCGACACCTCCTCTCGAAGATCCGGTCCAAACCTGGCAGTGCGGTTGGGGTGAAACCCAGAAACTGCAACTGTCAGAGGATTAAACTCAACAGATGTGGAACGGGGACCGAGAAAGCACAGGCGGGCACATCGCTTTTTCTGGGCCGCCAGCTTGGAGATAGAGCCCGGCTGCGATGGCATGGAGGCTCTGTATCGCGGGTGGTAAAAGACTTTGCCATGCTTTGTCCAACACACAGGAGCTTCCAAGTTTTATACACTAGAGTCCACCTAACCGTCCAGGCTTTGTCTCTGAACTTCGTGTTTCAGAGTCTGTCCCAAAAACAGCCAAAAGCAGAGCCTGTAAGGGCGACGAAGATCAAGAAACGGTGCCATGCATGTACGTGAGTCCTGAAACATTTAGAAACACTTCTACCCTGCCAGCCGAGTTCCATTTACCGTGAACTGCTACCAATCAAGTAAAGCATCAGTGTGTCTGTGTGTTAGTGTGCGCGCGCTGCTCCCCCCTTCCTCGGGGCTTGCATGCACTGGTTCTGCGCGTCCCTTTGCAGATTAAGCATACCTGATCTTTTCGTGAACAATGTAGGCATCGGAACCCGCAAGGTGTAGCCGCAAAGCCTGTAAACCCAAACCACTTGCTAAGCTTGAGGACTGAAGCCCTCAATTTTCTGTGAAACCGCCATACAAACAGTTGGCAGTTGGCCCTGTCCGTGCAATCGATGGCCGAAGACCATCGACTGAAATGTGCGATTGCACCGTTGTGAAGTTTCACAAGCATGTTAGTGGCAGAGTCAACCTCGTTGAAAGGAGCGATAGTGCGCTAGTGGGCAAACCCGACACCAAGAAGAACTCTGACGCCGGAGAAGAAGCGAAGAAGTGATGCTTGGCCAACCAAAGGTGTTGGGGATGCTAGGTAGAAACAATGGACATTGCCCAAGGGGGTGTCAAACAAAGCGATTGGAAGGACACTGGGTAGAGGTTTTTTGCGGTGCGGGCCGAAGGCCGCGAGATCGTGCGTGGCCGCGGCGCGGACCGCGAAACACCAAAAGGTATTGTTGGTTGACCCAAAGCTTGCAAAGAAGCTGCTAGTGACAAACCCCAAACCCGAAAGGAGATGCTGAAACCGCAAACAAAAGAAAGAGTTGTGAAGCTCCAGACCCTAAAGAAGATGTTGGTCCACCACCGGCCTGCAAAGAAGCTGCTCGGCAAACCCTGCTGCTGCTGTTGGTGTTGCTGCTG